ATTAACAAGAGAATTCTGAGTAAAACCAAAGTTACTTTCCCTAGTAACTAGTTACTTTGAAAGTAACGAGTAACTTGAAGTAACTGAGTTACTTTTGATAGAAGTAACTAGTAATGTAACTAAGTTACTATTTTAAAGTAACTTACCCAACACTGCTAGACACTGAACTAAACCTGCAACAAACATGAGAACAAAACCTGCGAACTAATCCCTAAACAAGAACAACTGAAACATAGATTCATCATCATCAGCATCATAATGAGGAAAGAATCCAAAATGCAAAAACACACCAAAACATAACTCAAAATACTGAATACAGAACCGTGACACAAGCAGGCAGAGCAGCAGAAAAATGAATTAAGGGCTTAAAGGACAGTTAAAGCTTTGAATGTGACTCAGCTGTACTGATGCTGATCCCACTCTCATGTGTACGTGGCTACAGCTGAATGGAAACATTGCTGTGTTCCTCATATTCCTCAAGAGTGTTCCCTTGTTTTATATACTGGTCCATAACAATATGACATCACTTAAAACAACATCATACATCTGATGGTTGGAGTCGAGGAACCCAAAGCTTAGTGGAGACCTCGGGAGTATCTAAGCTTAGCGTTAACGTTAGCGTTAACGTTAGCGTTAACGTTAGCGTTAACGTTAGCGTTAACGTTAGCGTTAACGTTAGCGTTAACGTTAGCGTTAACGTTAGCGTGATTTCCTCCATGCAAATTCCTATACTAATGTGCCATAACATTAGAACTTCCTAACATTGTGCTGGTGCTCCTGTTGCATCCAGCCATGGACTCTCTGTGCTGTTGTGTCTGGGAACAAGATGTTAGCCGCAGATCCACACCTCAAACTCATTGCTGAACTGAGGTCAGTGGGCTCCCTGACTGCTCTGTGCACCCCTGTACATGACAAACTGATGCACTGTGTATTCTGACATGACCAGCAACAACCTTCTTAGCAGCCTGAGCTGCAGTATCATGCACCAGTGAGCCGTCCATGACCCTGCTGGTTCACCACTGTCACTTCCATGAACCAGTTTTGATGGATACTGATCACTACAGCCCGGGAACACCCAAACAAACGGCAGTTTGGAGATGCTCTGTCCGTTCCCGCTCGTAACACATCGCCTCTGAGGACGAGAGGTTCACATGCTCCCTGGTAAATGTCACCCACTGACAGGTGCTGTGAAGAAGAATTTATTCACTTCATGATGTTATAAAGTACATAATTAAGTCTGTAGCCAACACACTGACATGAAACAGCTGTTTCCACTTTAACTTGGAAAGACAAACGTTTTCTGCACACAGCGAACACTCGTTACTCTCTCAGTAACACATGAACGCCTTGATTGGACCTCTGGAAGAGTTAGTACGGGCTTATTCACCATGCCTTCACTCCTACAGCAAACCTGCACACACACCCTCATGCTCACTACCTTCCTCATCCATGGAGTCATCTGACATAGCATCATCATCAGTGGTTTCCCACACTGTAGGTAAACAGCACAGTCACAGGCGGATTCTTACGGATGGTTGATGGTAAAAATCATTTGAAGCCACAAAGAGGGACGAACAGAAAGGTCCCACGTCTGACCTCAGCATCATCACTTTATCTGCTACATGTTACAACCAGTACAGTGGCTACAGAGGCCAACACAGAAGCTAATGTGTGCAGGCTATAAAGATTAAATGGATTAACTGATGGACGTTTTCCAACTTAAATGTGTGATAAATAAACTCATGGCTGCAGGACCAGAGGTGGCTCTGTTCATTGGGGAGTGGGCTGCAGGCTCACGCTGTAGCTGCAACTTACCCTCTTCATCTGACACATCGAGTACTTCAGTCATGGTCTCTGGCACATTCAGCTTGTGCTTCTCCGTCACCGTCTGCCAGATCAGAGCAAACACACCCCGTTAAAAACACGACAGTGAGTTTATCAGGCAAAGCCAGATAGTTTAATGCAGAGCAGTTAGCTTTGTTGTCTTAATTCAACCGTGTGGTCATTTTAAAAAAACAGAGATTTGTACTGATGTAATGGCACGCATCATTTTTACTGTTGTGCTCTCACATATCTCAACCAGTGTTGTGTTATTACGCCAAAGTGATGCATTATAGTGGACAGATAAAGAAATGCATTGTTTTTATGAAGACTAAAGTTATGTGAATTTCTAAATGTAAAAGATGTAGGGAGGTGTGTGTCGTGGGTAGCTTTATCCGGTCGTTAAGTCTGACGTCACTAGCCGTGTCTGGGCCTAAACTC